GTAATTTTAAGTTAATACCTGGACTTTCAAACGTGTCATTGCAATACCCAAACTTTCAAAAAGTGTTAAGTTGGTCAAAACCATTAATGAATGTTATCATATTAAAGGATAAAAATGCCCTTTACCTAATTTTCTTATAAGATGAATGGGCAGAATAGAGTAACTCGCAACCTAACCATAGTTCCCTTGGTTAGCGCAAGAAAAGAACAAAAGACCAATAGACCACTAACCACTTAAATTCCATACTTGAAGAAACCTCGCCCAGAAACGATGATTCTCTTCACTTGTCAGTCACTTCCGATATCATGGCTGAAAAAAAAAACGGAGAAAAACCCCAATGAAAACATGGCTATGGAGAAGAGAATATAAGCACTTTTTCGTCAAAATCTACAAGAATGATAGAGGATGATTCTTCACCATGGTTTTCAAAACCGGACCAGACCAGATGGTTGGACCGAAAAAACCAGGAATCCATTACATGACCGGTTCCATTTTTTCCCAAAATCGTTGATTTTGGTCAGCAAACCGCTGAACCGGCCGGTTAACCGTTCAAACGGTTTTGACCATTTTTCAAATTTAATTTTTTTTTAATTTTTTTGTCAAAACGGACCGGCAGTTCGGGTCGAACAATCAGACCGTTCAAACTGATAACTGGACCCCTGACCGGTTCAGTTTTAAAAACCATGTTCTTCACCGTCAGATGCTCTACTCCAGAACAGCCACAACCACCGAAAATGGGAGTTTGTCACCGATCTAAACAAAATAAGAAGAGAAACGATGAAGAAGCCAAACACGATGCTTACCTGAAAGCGTTTTATCTTTGAGCCTACCCAATGATGCAGGTATGGGGCCATAAACTTTAGTATCAGCTTCCATCGTGTTTAGAGAAAAAAAAATCCTTTAACTGGCAGTCGGTATGGGGTCAATTGCATAGCCGACACCACCACCACCACCACCAAAAAATAACAAATTTGTCTTCAATCAACCTGCAAAGAGTTTATGCCATGTAGCCCTGGTACATATTTGGTGACTCAATCATACTCACTTATGGCTGTCAAATGATCGTCAAGCTCCTCTGTGGTCAACACTTTTGCTATGTTTGGTTTGAAGGAGAAAGTAGAAAAAATGTTTTCTTACATTTTCCTTTCCCTACCTCTTACTTCAAACCAAACTCAGCTTTTGAAAACTGTATTTTCCTTTCTGACAACTCCCACTTCAATTTGAGTGGCCTTAGTATCCTAGAACTATAGCGGAAAGAGTTCAAATCAGTCCCCCACAAGACTGCACCCCACAACGTGTTACAACACATTCCTGTTGTGTATTGAGAATATCTCCAAATGATAATATCATCATTTCTAATACTATCATCAAGAGATGTTCCAATACCCATTGTGAGACGGTCTTATGGGGGGCTGATTTGATCTCTAGCAGAAATTGCAGTCCTTATACGGTTTCCTCATAAGAAAATGCAGAATCAATTTTTATTTTCTTCTCTGACAAATTAATTGCCTCCTATTATTTTAAACCAGCACTTGTAGGATTGGGATCTGTTACTCACACAAAGCGCCTCACTCTGACCTAACATGCACATCTGACCATATAGGATGGGGAACATCTCCCGGGAGATGCACCAAACAGCTACTCCAACTTCTTCATCAATGCCCAAAACCATAGCAGCTACTCCTAGAGGTCTCATATAGACATGTTGAGTATATATATGTGATTTGTCTGCGATCCACCTGGCCAATACATCCATAGGCATCTCACATCCACGTTTGAACAAGAACTCCGCTGCTTCGTTACTGGTAATGGCGAAAAGGTGTGTAACGCTAGTCTGATCCAAAAGCTTAAGCTTGTCCGGGACTTTCTTCCGTGTGACAATGCATACTGAATCCTTTCCTTGAAACACCAATCAGGGTGAACCCGAAAACCTGTACGGCCTTAGAAGCATACTTTATGGCCTCGATTTGTTGTTAGACTTGGGGCTTTGCGCTTTTCTCTGATAAAAGTTAGCAGGGGAGTGGAATAAAAAACAAAAAACTTTCTGTACAAGAACGAAAACAGAAAAATTTTCAAAAATTAAAGATAATTTCAAAATTTGATATTTTCAAAAATTATACATATAATATGATATGATCATCACGTGATAGACAACTAACGGTAGGGATCAATTGAACATTTTTGCTACCCCGTTATTAAAGTGGAATTTTCCCTATTAATTATTTCATTTAACATAGATTAAAATCAGGTTTTATTTGAACCGGACCTCGACGCAGACGAAGTGAGAAGAGCAGGGCACTATATACCGTAACTTCCCGCTAAACAGCCTCAGATTGAGAGAGAATCCTCTGGAATTGTATATCACTTCTATATCTGTGTTCCAGACTGGGTGCGTCATTTCGTATTTGACGAGAGAATGGAAGCTCTAAAGAAACTGGAAGAGGTACAGAGAATGCTGGCCTTCATGCAAACGCGTGGTCTCTCCTCAAGCCATCATGATTCCGATCGCTTCCTGGCCGATTTCATGCTCTTTATGGTATTCCCCTCTTTATCTCCAACGGGTTATTTGCTATTTGCTTTTTTTTTTTTTTTAAGCATTATTATCTCTATTCGTCTATCTATCCATTCATGGAGAGCCACCTTCTTTGAATAATGCTCACCTTTCTTCTAATTTCTACATTATCTTTTGTAATTATTCTCTCTATCCAGTAAGGGTGGGGTGTCTCGTGATTTTCTGATAACATATTGAATCTCTAAGCACGGAATCCAAATCTGTAACTAACTACTGCCTTTGTGTAACGTGACCTTGTTAGGGTCCGCTAAAGCCTAAATTGTAACTTGTCTGTATGTGTTTTCTTGCTAATTACATTATAATGGGTTCATCTATTTGGAACTGGAGTATGGGTTTCTATATAAACATTTAGGGACCGTATCTTAGTGGCTTGAAGTTAAATAGAACGGATTGGCAAAACATGATTCATGTAGCCGACCCCATATAGTTGGGATAAGGCATGGATCATGACGATGATGATCTTAGTGGCTTGCTAGTAACCTACTCTTAATAACAAATTATTTTGTAAAGATTTCAAACGAGTTATTATAAAGTAGTGGATTGATCACATTTCTATTGCACTTTTGTTGGAGAATATTTGAACTGAAGGCAAGTTGGACATCATTACCAGATTAGACACTTATTGAAATGAAGTTGTAGAGTTAATCTAATTGGAAGTAACATGACAATTAGATTGACAAAGTATGTGTTTGGTTCCGTTTACTTTTTTTCATTCAACGTTTGTACTTTATTTGCTTGCAAAACCGAGAAAGGTAATAATTACAACCGTTTATGACAACTAGGTGCCACTAGGCTCCACATCAGCGTAACAGTAAAAAAATGCTTAACTGTTTGTGGAAGCTTTAAAAAATAACTCCCCCAAACGGTAGGCGTGCACAAAAACCGAAGTCCACTTTTGCCATTCTCGATCTGTACAAAAGAGCAAGAGAGGGAAACTGCTGAAGTGGTGCCTATGTGGCAGCGTTTATTGAATAAACGCCAACGGAACCAAACACCCTGAAAATAAGCAAGATAATGTAGTCAATGTGTGAAGTCTTTTTATTCCCTGCTAACGTGGCACCTTTGGGAGATGGAAAGAGTGTTTGGTTGCAGTTGGGTTGTCCCTGGTGGTTTAACCCCTTACACTGTGTTTGGAAGCAATGGAAAACGTCATCGATGTAAAAGTTTATGCTGGTTCGGTTTTGTCAGCGTTTGGATGGAGTGGAGTTTTACATCATAAATCGATGTAAAACCTCATCAAAAGTAAAGTTTTACATCAATAATAGATGTAGATACTACATCGTAGGGGTGGATTCGAGCTGAATACTTGGCTATTTGAGCTCGGCTTGCTGAAACTGTGTCAGGCTCGAGCTCGAGCTCGATTCTAGTTAGAGATTTGAGCTCGAGCTCGGTTCAGATCAAAGCTCGCAAGTTCGAGCTCAGTTCGAGCTTGAGTGCAAGCCAAGTTTTTTTTTCTAAAAAATAAAAAGTATACATATAAAAATATTTTTTTATTTTACATACAAAAAATTAAGAATTATAAAAAACATTTATTATTATACATATAAAAAATAAAAAATATACATATGAATAATGTTTTTATTTTACATACAAAAAATAAGAATTATAAAAATTATTTACCATTATACATAAAAAATAAAAATATTATATATAAAATATTATCATAGAATAAGAATTATTATTATAATATTTATATGTATATGTATAATAAAAAATTATTTATTTATTATACTAGGCTCGCGAGCCTCACAAGCCGAGCTTCACTGGGCTCGAGCTTGGCTCAATTAGCAAACGAGCCTATGTCAAGCTCGAGTTTGGCTCGAAGCTTGGTTTAAACCGAGACGATCCGAGCTCAAATAGCTCATGAGAAGCTCGGCTCATGGCCACTCCTACTACATCGATAAAATCAATGTAAAAATTCAACACTTTTCTCCACTCTTTTCGAATCTCAATGGTAACTTTTTTACGATTCGGTGTAAAACCTCATCGATGTACTTTTACATTGCTTCCAAACATAGCCTTATGAGGTTTATGATCTCATGACACATTGACATTTGTTTGGTTGGAGGAAATCTTGCACTTCCATGCACATGCAATGTTCTTTTACATCTTAGCATAAGTTGATCCTCGGTCCTTCTAGGCTGGAAAGATTGCTCATACACATGCACATATAACAGCAACCTATTTCCTAAATGTCGTGTTCTTTTTTTCCTTCTTGTGCTATCCTTTTTCTGGTTCTTTCTAGCTCATATTTGGTCTTTGACATCCATTCTTTCACCTGTAAACATTCTCATCATAAAACAAAAGCAAGAGAGACTGTTCTTTATTGATCTTGTATTTGTCATTTGATATTCTGAAGGTACAACCATCTGGCATGCTCAACATGTATCAGAAGTGCCATTTGATGTCAGAGCTCTTGGCAAAGGTGAGTTAAGGTTTAGAATTTGTTTCTATTACTAACATGACTATAAGATTCACCATTTTTTGTTATTGTTTCCTTGGCAGATTTCAGCTGAAGTTTTTGAGGAAGCAGTGCTTTGGCTTACTGGAGAAAGTATGTAGAAAACAACTGGACCTAGCTGACTAGTATACATTGATATAGGGGAAAATTGCATTACACTTTTAGGCCTTTTAAGCCTACAATTGATACTTATCCAATTTTCCAAATAATAAAAAATTGACAATGATATAAGTGGATATGAAATTGGTTAAGCATGCAAAGTCATTATGAACCGAATTGAGAGCAAGAAGAAAACAGAATTAGGGGTGTCAAGAATAGTTGACCCCCACCCCAAAGAGTCTTTTATATTAAACAGATAAAATATATGTACAGTTACAAGAATGCCCTTACAGGGTTGAAAGATAAAAAGAACAAATAAAATAATAAGAATTCAATACTATACAACAAGGACTACTCTAATAGTGTACATCAAGATATATCTTCACACTCCCCCTCAAATTGATGCGCAGACATCAGCATCAGTTTGCCCGCAAGAATGAAATGTCGAATTTTAGTCATGGCCTTGGTGAAGATGTTGACAATTTGCATGTAAGAGGCTACATGAGAAAGAGATATAGAGCCTGCAACAAGAAGGTCTCTAATAAAGTGACAATCCATCTCGATATGTTTAGTCCTCTCATGAAAGACCGGATTAGATGCGATTTTGATGGCGTTGGTGTTGTTGGCATATAGAGTGATAGGAGTAGGAAGAGGAATACCAAGATCCTGAAGGGATGAGAGATCCATCGTATGGACGCCCTAATCTTGCGGAATAAAGGGGCGAATTTCAAAAAAATTCTCTCCCTTCAACTGGGAATCGCATTCCCTATTTAGAAAATCATATTTTCAAGGATCAATCTTGAACCATAAACTGAACCAGATCTAAACCAAAAGGAGTAGGAGAGGATTATACCTG